CCCCATCTCATCCTGGGAATATCCAAACTCTCTTAGGGTTTATTTACATGCCAAGTTTCATGGGCATAGGCACTGCAGTAAGATAGAGAAAGCAGAGCCCGTGGTTTCCCAAGGCACCCTTTCCTGGGAAGAAGTCGGAATAGAGGTTTAAGCAGAGGGTTAAGGAAGCCAAGAGAATCCTTCCAAGCAGCAAGCAGCCACACTGTCTCCTCTAGACACAGCTATATGGAGACTAATTATAGCAAGGGGGGAGAACAAATTCCCCTGAGAATCTCAAATGGAATCTGTCAAAATAAAATAACTCCCCTTGACTTGACCTTTAATGAATGGGATGAAACAAGACAGCTAAAAGCTGACATGATCGTTTTCTTTTCCAATCTAAGGTAGGACTAGAGCTACTACCTCATCGCGCTGCCCCTCCTCTCCACCTCCTAAGATAAATTGTGACCTTTCCATGTCATGGTTATATGAAAAACAAGACATAATACTTCATTTGAAAGAAAGGGATCAGGACACCAGGGCCAGCACTGCCCTCACATCACTTCTGGTTTCTAAGTCATTAGGGTCAACTTTGTGGTATGAATTCCCAGGAAGGAGCCAGCAGTGATGATCCCACACTTGTCTCCACTGTGATCCTGATGACACATCTTATCCCAAGCCTTTGGAAGCTCCAGCTCTGCTTCTTTCCGGATAGTCCACTTCTTGAGACTCATCCATACATGCATCTGGTATTATCTGCAAGTTGGCCTAAGAAAAAGGCATGGAATGTGGCCACCACAGATGGCTCCTCAGCCTTTTCTCCACACAGCAAGCCAGTGTGGGGCTGCTAAAATGTAAGTGTCTACTCACTGATTGGCAACCTTTTGCTTCTGCTTCTCTGAGAACACCCTGTCTCACCCAGCTAAGCCCTCCATAAAGGACCCATTTCTCTCCTTCCCTTTGTAGCAAAACTCTTGAGAGGTCTGTCCGTACGTACTGTCTCCAATTCCTTTCCTCTCGTTTTTTCTTGAACCGATTCCATCAGCCTTTCACCCTCAGTGCTCCACTAAAACTGCTTTTATAATCATTGCCAGTAACTTCTACATTGTAAATCCAGTGGTCATGGCTCAGTCCTCAACTACCTTGACCTAACAGCAGCATTTGATACAGATCAGGCT